ATCCCCTCCAGCATCTGTTGTAATTAGAGTTCTTGATTTTAGCCATTCAAACTGGGGTGAGGTGGTATCTCAATGTTGTTTTGATTTGCATTTCTTTTATGCAAAGCCATCTTTTCTGCTCAAAAGTTTACGACCTGATTCTGAAAGCCCAAGACCCCTGCTCCTCTCATCATCCCACATCAGCGGGAAGCAGCCAGACAAAACAAGAGTGCCCCCTTCCCCTTGTTTCCTGTGCTTCTCCAGCATCACGGATGATGGGAGGTGAGTTCATCTAAAGCACTTACCTCCGCCGTGACAGCCATATCCCTGAGCTGTCCTTGCTTCCCACCCTGCTGAGCTCTCCCTTTCCCCTCCCTCCTGGAGCAATGCACCTGCGGTCTGGGAAGAGAGCCTGAGACCAAGGCCTTGTCTCCTGCTGATTCCCTGACCAGAACAGAGCCTGCTGAGACCCTGAAACTCCTCCGTGCTCCCCAACCCCCCTTTACCTCATCCCGTGTCTTTCTGCCCACTCCCCCGAGTTCACGCTACCTAATATTTAAAGAGCCCAACGTTTAAGTATTGTTTAAATATTAAGACTGCATTAAGGTAGTCTTAGCCTGTATGTTAGTCATCCTATGCAAAAATGAGGTGAAAATCACCATTTAAACGCCTCAGAAGAGACATCTGAAGACTAGGTGCACGCAGCAATTTACCCGTCTTCTATATTCTTCAGTCTAGATGAGAGGAGGCTATAATGTGGATTATGTTCAGATTCTTGGAGAGTCAAGATGAAGTTACCAGTATGTGATATTTGGTGATTCTCTATCACCAGGCTATATTGGAAACGCTAAGCAGTAATTCTTAGTGACTAGGTCTCTCTCTATCTCTCTGTCTCTCTGTGTGTGTATCTCTCTCTCTCACACACAAAACACCCATACACACACACACATAATTGAGGAAGATTCAACATGGGAAGAAATGAAATCTGTCATTTGGGCAGTTCCATTCAAGGAATGGGCTGGAGGATATTACACTGAGTACATGTAACCTGGTTCAGAAACGGAACTACCAATCAGCTCCTCTCCTCAGGGGAAGCTAATTAAGCTCATTTTGTGGTGGTAGAGAGGAGAAGAGTGGTTCCCAGAAGTCAGGAGGTGCAGTGGGGACAAGGATGGAAGGAAGCTGGGTCACAAGTGTTGACATAGAGTTAGAAAGAGAAGGAAGCGCCAGTGGCTGGGTGGCTCAAGTTCGTAACTCTTAATTCTGTGTTCAAAGATGGGACGGAGGAGAGGAGTGCAATGGATGGTGTCTTCTCAGAAGATGGAGCTCCTCACTCGCCACACACTGCAGAGACAAGGTGCATGGGGTGGATGGGCGTGGCCTCAGTGGGGGCCGTGGCAGGGCTGTGGGATGAAGGTGGGAAAGTGGGGGGGGGCGGTGTACAGTTGGGCTAGACATCAGAATCACCTTGGACATGTGCCAAAGTGTTTGTGCCTATATCACACCCTCAGACATGATGATTTAATTCAAGTGTGATCTGTCTTGGCCAGTCGGAGTTTACAATTAAAGAAAAAAAAAACTTCTCTCATGTGGAAGAATTCTGAACCTAGAGGAAAGCCACAGGACCGGTACAAGGGAATGTCAGGTCTCAGACTGGGTTCGTGTTGACCCCTTTGAATTCGTTTACCACATCCGGTTAAAAGCTGCATCTTATATAAATGTGTGTCCATTCCAGGGCCCCCACAGAGCCCGGTGAGGGTCTGTGGCTCCCAGGCAGCACCCAGGTTCCCGAGGACAAGGACTCCGTCCTCATGGACCCTGGGGACCTCCAGGTGAGAGACCCCCAGATTCCTGACTCCGTCTGGTGTCTCATTTGTGGTTTTTATTTTCCGTGGAGAGAAAGCCCTGGGTGCCTCCCTCTCAAGTTAACTACTTGGGCCAGAGAGGAGACTGATGGGTCATTTCACAGTTTCTCTGAGATGTGCTATGTAATAGCACTAAAACCTAATGCCAAATGGGCCACAGAAATGAAACTTTTGTTCTCTAGTTAATGCCTTCCATTGTACACTTCCCTTCCTAACTTTATGCTTTGCGTACATTTTGCTTTCCAGTCAGACAAATTGGCTTCGCCATCGCACAGCCTACTTCATGCACACTTTCAGAACATCCTGAATTCTTGGGGGAGTTCTAATGTTCATGGCTCGTGCATCAGTAGCATTGCCAATGAGAGTCTCTTCTACTCAAACCGTCTTGGGAAAGTGGGGGTGTTCCTGCTCATCTATCTCGTTTCTTCCTGGTTCCTTTCTGCCAGATCCTGCCTCCTCCTGAGTGTGGTTGGGCCGTGTGTGCGGTGGTCCTCGTGGCTGAGGGTGTGTGGTAAGGGAAAGGAGTGGTAGCTTGTGAGGTGAGGGGTCAGGGCCTTCACTGCTAATGCTCCTGTTCTGTCGGCCACACTGACCCAACAGCGAGACCCACCCTGGCCAGAAATGGACAGAGGAGGCTGAAAGGATTGAGGCTCTTGACATTTCCAATGAAGCAGCCTCTGTGTTCAGACCTGTGTGACACACAATAGCACAAGACTCCTGCAACTCCTGAAGGCTTTCCTGATAGTTTCCTACCCTTCCTAGGTTAGAAAGCCAACACCACTACACAGTTGCAAAAAAAATGCCTCAGGTAAGAGGTAACTAGGAAAAGGGGGGCTCAAGGGACCTGAGAAGGTCTGAAGACTAATGTTTGTGCAATGCATCCCTGTGGATGTGGTTGGGGTTGGGGTCTGTGGGAAACTTTCCCCTGGGCAGTGGACCACAGCATAGGCAGAGGGTGGAAGCAAGCCACGGGGACCTGGGTTATCTGCTGTCCACCCTCTCACCCCACTCTCCACCCCTCAATGAGAGAGGGCAGACAGAGATCATATGCTAATTCTTTTATTGGGGTACTGGGGACATGGTAGATATGGCCATGCTGTCCCAGTGGCAGAGGGATCTGAAGGGCTTCCTCTTCTTTAGTTTCCTGAAAGAAACAAACAAAGTTATGGGAACCAATAAAGAAGGAGCTGCTGTTTTGGGGGTAGGGGAGTTGAGGACCAAACTCCGGCCCTTGCCCTTGCTACACAAGCTCTCTTCCACCAAGCTAAATCCCCAAACCCATCAAGGTGGGGTTTTCCTCTTTTATTTTCATTTAATGTCCTCTCCTTCCTAGATTTTTTGTTACTTTTATGATCAGCATCTAGGAGATCATGGCTATGTGGAAGTTGGGGAAAAACTTAATTGTAAGTTGTGTCTCTTTTGGTTGTGATTGAAGTTGTTCAAAGACACATCTAAGAGACAGTCTGCCTCGTGTCCCTCCCAGTGAAGGCCAGGATCAGGGCTGAACAGGATAAACTTTTGGAGAAGGGAATGGGAGGTCAGATGAGATCTGATTGCTCCTGCCTCGGAGCTCCTGCAGATGGCTTTTCAGTTTGAACACAACTTAGATGTATAGGCTAAAAAGCCTGGGTAGCACTTAGCCATACTGCACCTAGATATCACTTGTAGGGACAGTGGGTGAGAGCAGGTGAGGTGAGGTGGGAAGGGCCGGGCAGGCATTGCGGTGGCTGCTCCCCGAGGCGGGCAGGACACGGGCAGTAGAGACCACACCGAGGTCTCTGCAGTACCCACAGGCCCAGCAAGTCAGCCAGGGATCCCTGTGGGTAGGAACCTGTGCAGGCGCCCCTCGATCCCTGAGATTCCTAGGACCACATGTGGACAGCTGGGGTCCTCTGTCCACCCTGGAAAACTTGATGTGTGGTCCCAAACCACACGATCTCAACAGATTCCCCGAGACTACATTCCCTGCTACTGTCTGAGGACGGTTAGGTGTGGGTGTTGCATGTAAAGTGAGTTTGAGCCGTACTGGTCCTGGAATGTGATTATCGGGGGACTCTCCCGGAATGTGATTTTTGTTGACTGACCTTCAGAAGGTAGCTCTTGAGATGGAGGTGGAAGTTCCTGTGGGTTTGGAGGGGGTGCGGGCCAGAAGAATGAGGGTCTGTATAGGTATCCACCCTGTCTATGTCCTGTGAATGGGTGTTTTAAGTCTAGCCAAGACAGGGGTCTGTGTGCCGGAGGAGGCGGGGGAGGAGGTTGCTCTTGTCTAGGCAGGGGAGGAGGTTGCTCTTGTCTAGGCGGGGGAGGAGGTTGGTCTTGTGTGGAAGGTTCCTGGTCTTGTGGCTGCTCTTCCTGATCACCATTTCTATCTCCTTCTCCATTTCCTTTTTCTCTGTCTGCATCAGAGTTTTCATGCGCAGTTAACTCGGGTTGCTGGTCAGGCTCTGGGTTTGCTTCCTCAGCCCCTGTGTGGTTTTGGCACAAAAGAGAAGACACACTATGGGGGGGGTGGACACCCCTGGCTTTTGATCTCTCTGACCTTGTCACCCAGTGCTTCCTCCCTGAATCTCCCTCTGCTGACACTTCCTGTCCCTCCCCTCTCCCCACAGTTCCCCATCAGTTCCCCCTCTTCATCCAGTCGTATCTCATGGCTAAGTTCCTAGAAGTACATTCCCTGAAACTGTCCCCAAATTAAGATCCGGGGTGTCTGATTTCAGAGAAGAATTCTCTAAAGACAGAAGAGGAACAAAGCAAAAGGTTGATCCGTGTGGTTGGCAGTGTTCTGGGTTTTGTTTTTGTGAGCATGCTCCAAGCACTGGAAGCCTCTGTGTTCAAACCTGGCTCTGTTGCCGGAGCAATGAACTGCTGGTCAGTGAGGACTGGGAGCCAGTGGTGTGGGTGAGGAGGAGCAGGTGCGGGGCTCCCGGCTCGACTGTGTCCCTGCAGTCAGTGCCAGAAACACAGCTGAGCAGAGAATCAGCCACAGTCACGGGTGTTGTCTGTCTCCCTCTCCGCAGTCTCCTCACCCTACCACTGTTGTTGGGATAGCAGATAATTTCTCTGATCTCCAGGCCCCACAGTTGTCCTTTAGTTTTAAAATTATGTCCTTTAGTTCTCTTGATCTTACATATCATCTTTGTATCTAGAGGAGGCACCGTAGTCATTTGTATTTAATTCCCTGGGATCTCTTCCCATTCACAGTCTGGCGTTACGTTTCAGAAGTGTATGGACACTTGAGATTTTGCCTTTTTCTATGCATGTTAATTGTAAGTATCAATGCCTTCTTTTTCTTCATCACCACTAATAAAACTAAGCTGATGTCTTGGGATAAAAGAGGTGGAGGGGGGGGATAAGAAAGGGTCACAGGTCTTTTCTTGTGCCTTTTTTTGTGAATTACTACCACTGTGGAGAGAAGCCCTGTACAGGGCAAAAGCCACTGATGCCTTCTCTGTGCAACAGAAGATGCAGAATTTTCCCCTTGCAACACCTGCCTCATTTTTCAGTAGTTATTTCTTCCTGGAAACAAACTTTTGTCATTCAAACTGGTCCTTCAGAAAATATACATATATTTATATATACAGAATATTGATATAGTAATATATTAATATTAATATAGTGCGAATAATATTCGGATACATTATAGAAACATATATGATATATAAATGTTTCTATTATGTATTGTTAACAATTGTATTAGTATTTGGATATATTGATATGTAATTATTCCCAATAATAATATATTAGAAAATATTTAACATATATATTTCAATCTAATCCTTTTACTATTAAATATGTATATATACTTTTTTAAAATTTGTGTGTCTGTGTCTGTGTCTGTGTATTGTCCTTGGACTTGAACTCAGGGCTTGCCTACCGTCTGAGCTTTTTTCCATCAAGGCTAGCATTCCACCACTTGAGACACAGCTCTATTTCTGGATTTTTGGTAGTTAGGTAGAGATAAGCATCTCGAGGATTTTCCTACCTGGGCTGGATTTGAACTACCATCCTCAGATCCCAGCCTCCTAACTAGCTAGGATTACAGGTATGAGCCATCAGGGCCTGACTCTACACTTGTTTATTCCTTCCCGGTATTGAGAGATACCTTTGTGCAGTGGTGTGACTCTCCTTATCATTCACCTGGTGGAGCAGTAGCTGTCCCCCAACAATAAGGCTGGGCTGAGCAGAGAGGCCTTAACTGCCCTCACCTGTCCTCCCCCCCTCCCTCCTTTCCTGCAGTACCTCCTGAGGCCCACGCAATGTTCACCCCACGCAGTGTGGCCCTGTACCTTGGGTTGCGCTCTGAGCAGAGCTGAGGGCCAGCAGGGCCGCGGTGAGCAGGACCAGCAGCATCGTGGAGGAGGCTCTGGAGAGGCTCTGGAGTCCGTGCTGGGAAGCAGGGCCACTCACTCGCTTTATGAGGAGAAGGACAGAACAACGGAGCTCTGAGCTCACGTAGTGACCTCGCGCCTGACAGAGCGGATGCTTCTTCTGGACCTGAGCCTGGCAGGATACAATGCCCATGTGTCAGACAAAGCGGTGTGTCACCTGACTGTGAAACACTGCGGAAAGAGCACTGTCCTGGCAGTTATCAGAGGAATCAGAGGTGACATTTCTTCATCATCACAAGTCCAGTGGGTAAATTAGAAGGTGCAACATCTGCACTGGGTGTTGTTGTGTGACATCTGGGCTGGGTTGTTGTTGTGTGACATCTATACTGGTTGTTGTGTTGGGGGAGGGGGTAATGATGGAACCCTGTGTGTGTGTGTGTGTGGTTGAGAGTTGATTGCTGTAGGGTAAAACAACGATGATGAACAGCGGAGAACAGCACAGCCCAGTCTCCATTAACCATGATGCATCCATGATGATGTACATAATAGGATGCTCAGCGAGCCTTTTCATTTTACGTTGTGATTTCCACTTATCTTTCGACAGGTCCACTTAGCACATGAACCGCTAGTGCCTCACATCCAACCCTCAGCCTCCAGGTCCAGGAACCAGGCCTGGGACGCTCATGGCCAGGTGGATCACAGAGCCTTGTGGTTGGAGCTCAACTGGCCTTCAACACTGTGCTCTTACCAACACCCTCCGGGTGAGGACAGCGAAGCAGTCCCTGGACTCCACGCTGGGGCTCGCAGGGCAGCAAACGCAGGTCTGAGCCTCTCAGCTCCTGCCTGCCTTCACCTTCCCAGAATCTTCTCTCCGGCTGGTCTGGGCCTCGTGTGGAAGGTGATGATTGATCACTGTTGCTCTAACAGTTCGCCCACAGCTACACATGGATCCTGGGAGTCTGGCCAGCCTCGTCACCGGCCCTGCATTTCGATCTGCAGAGCAGCCCATTCCGAGCTGGCTTCTCAGACGCTCCCTCCACACAGGACGTGCCCGCCACACTCTGCGGCCTTCAGTGTTGGGTCTCCTGCTAAAGCGGAGGGGCCTGATGTCTCATGATGCAAACTGATTTTCTCCAGGTATCACCTGTAACATTCCACTTTCCTGCAGAATTTAATTTGTAATACCAGAATCTGAATGACCACGCACTACCTTTCTTTTCTCTGTGCATGTGTTATTATGAAGGTGATGTATGCAGAGTCGCCATTACCTAAGTCAGGTTACCAGTACATTTATGTGTGGACCATGTCCCCCCTTCCCCACCCACAAGCTGTAGAGTTCATTCTCCACATGGTGTCCAGTGAGGACCATGGCTGCATTTGTTACCCTCTGTCGCTCCATTTCTTAAAACTTGGTGCCATGCCGGGCGCTGGTGGCTCACGCCTGTAATCCTAGCTACTCAGGAGGCTGAGATCTGAGGATCTCGGTTCAAAGCCAGCCCGGGCAGGAGAGACCGTGAGACTCCTATCTCCAATAAACCACCAGAAAAACCGGAAGTGGCGCTGTAGCTCAAGTGGTAGAG